GTTGTTCCCCCAGATCTTGATGAGCACCCCTGATAAGCTTATAGGTGGCCATCGGATCACCCCCGAGCCTGTGCTTTTCCAGGCTGAATAACCCCATTGCACTCAGCCTCTCATAATAAGATCTGTTTTCCTGACCTCTGATCAAGCGTGTGGCTCTCTGTGCACCCTCTCAAGCTTCTCCACATCCTATCCTTTTTCAATTGCGGAGCCCAAAACTGGATGCAGTACTCCGGCTACGGCCTCAACAAGGCCGAGTACAATGGGAGAATGACGTTCTGGGATCTGCTTGAGAAGCATCTATGGATACAAGTCAGCATTTTGCTCAGTTTACTAGCTGCAGCATCACACTGAACGCTCATGTTCATCTTGTGGTCAACTATGACCCCCAAGTCCCTTTCATCTGTAGTGCTAACCAGCGTAGCACTACGGAGCCTATAAGCATGGTGCAGGTTTTTCTTCCCATGGTGGAGAACCTTGCATTTTTTGGTGTTGAACACCATCAGGTTCTCGTCCGCCTATTTCATGAGTCTGTCCAGATCTGCCTAGATCACCCTCCTGTCCTCAGGTGCGGATGCTTTACCCCAGAGTTTGATGTCGTCGGTGAACTTGGCCAGTCTGCTTCTGACACCAATGTCCACATCATTGATGAAGATGTTAAACAATATAGGCCCTAGCACAGAGCCTTGTGGGATCCCACTGGTCACAACACACTCATTCACTTTTAGACTCTAGGCTAAAACCAGAGAAGCCAAAAGTTGGTTTTGGCAAATTTGGCATTTTCTAATGAAAAAATGTTTCATCAAATAAATTCCTGGCCAAGTCTAACAGAGGGGTTTATGAGCATGTGATCTAGAGAAAAGCTTTTGTTTGGTGTCAGTCAAAAATGGGCAAGGGAACCGGTAGAGCTACGTGGCAGAGCTGAGGAAGGGGGTTAAGTGACCTGGGAATATAGGAAGTCAGGTTTCTGTAGACACTTGCTAGATCAGAGTGATGTGGCATGCATGCTTCAAATAAGGAATGTGAGAGTCTGGTACTGCACACGTTCAGAAGTCATTCAGATGGCTATGTACGAGCAGTGCTGAATAGTTTAAAGCACCATTTTTTAAACGAACTATAAATGCCAAAGCTCAGGAAAATGCATTAACAATAAGGAAACAGGAGGTTAAAGAAACAAAACAAAAAGCTACCTCCCTTGCACTGCAAATTAGGTAAAATTTCCATGCAGGAAAAAGTAATATCCTACATAGGTGATTAACATAAATACTTTGGAGTGAAGGGATCTTAATCAGAAAATAGCATGGTTTATTAGTAAAAATTGCTGCAGAAAGGAAATTGGTTGATAGAGAGTTGGTCTAGAAATATCTCGGTTCTAATGCCTGCTTTTAGCCCCAAATGATCCTAATACAAACAAGTGAAGAGCAAAGCTTTGAAACAAGTTAGGGAAACTATATGTCACTACTGTTACCAGCTTTGGTTTCCCCACTATGCAATGGAAACTCTAAGTCTATTGGTACTAAAGGGATTAAATAGGTTACTAGGGAAACAGATTTTTGTCAGCAGAGTGCAGTTAGCTTTTATAGTCCACTTAATTTTTAATATGTGTTTTGCAGACAGATATATTGCATAGAAAATGCACATGGACAGCTGGTACGGGACCTAGATTTTAATCCCAATAAACAGTACTACCTGGCTAGTTGTGGCGATGACTGCAAGGTGAAATTCTGGGACACTAGGAACATCAATGAGCCGGTGAAGACACTAGAGGAGCATTCCCACTGGTAGGGTGAATTATCTGCATGATGTTTTGTGGGTGGATGGTTTATGTAATTTATTCAGCTAATTATTTTACTGTTTAGAAACAATGCAAGCTAGCTATGTTTATGCTGTTGTGAATAATATTTTTTTCTGCATGGAGGAGTGGGATTTAACATGTGGATGTTATTTGTGTGTCTTGTAAATTAAGAGTGGGGGAATGTTAATTTAGTTCCTAGCAAGATATTGACAATGCCATCTCAAAGATGGGAGACAGTGCACTGTACAGAACTTCAAAACAGAGGAGGAGGGTTCACCTTTTCACCTTCCTAATTCTGGGTTGTATTACCACTCCTAGCATAAACAGCCTTCAAGTTACAGCATCCTCCCTGTTCTTTCCATAGCAATGTTGTATAAAAGTTGTGTTGCTGCCCCACCCCACCATACTCCTCATCCTTTAAGCTTGTACACGCAAAAGGGTAGAGGTCATTTTTGGTCATTTTGCCTTCTGAGGGAATGTTCTTTCTTGACCTGAACCAGGACTTTCCAAGCTACTTTACTTTGATCTGGCCCAGTGCCCCTTCAGAAAGGAAGGAAGCAAAGTAAAATCTGATCTATAGGTTTTTTTAAGGGATTAATCAGTCCACTTTGAAAGCACCCTTCTATAAATTGGGAAAGCCAAGCCATTCATATTTTGTGGGATACAGCTTGAAGAATCTCTTGCAAAATAAAGCTGGACCCTGAAGCCAGGTTGACAGTGGTGTGAATATGAGAATTAATAGAAGCAACATTTTCATTTTTTGAGAAGATTAAAACAAAAATAATAGAATACAAGAAAGATCGCAAGACATTTGGCATTAACTTGATATACGGAATGTAAAAACTGTGGAGAAACCTAATCTTCCTTTTGTTTTTAGGATCTATTTTAATTTTTCACTGTGATAATGTTGAGAAGTTTTCTTTAAACTAACAGGTTATTTTTAATTCATATGTTGCTTTGGGGATTTTTTTTAATATTTAGAAATGTTATAATATTGTTGACAAACAAAAGGATAAGCAAACATTTATTCTGGAGGAATTATTTCAGAGCTGAGTCTTCCTCCCCTCCACATTTCCCTCTATTCCCCCATCCCCATACATATTTGTTGAATGTAAAAGGTATGCCCTTAGCAAATCAAAAAATTGGGAACATCATAACCTAAATAAAATAGCAAAAAATAATCTGTAGAATGGAGGGTATCTATTCTACCCATAATTAACAAATTAGATAACACTCAAGGAATTTTTTCCATATTTAGAATGAAAATCATTTCAATGTAACTTCAACTCAAAGTAATTTAAATAGTTCAGCATACATATTTACTGCCTGTATAGAGGAGCCTCTTGTAATATTATTTTTTATTTTAGGGTATGGAATGTCCGCTACAATCATTCTCATGATCAGTTAGTCCTTACTGGCAGCAGTGATAGCAGAGTCATATTGTCTAACATGGTATCAATTTCTTCCGAACCCTTTGGACACCTGGTAGATGATGATGAACTTAGTGACCAAGAGGACCACCATCAGGAAGAGAAGTATGAAATTCATTAGTTTTCAAATAAGTATTTTTCATTACAAGCTCTTATTTTAATAATTATCATGCTATTCTTTAGTGACTTCAGGATCTTTGTATACACCCCTTGCAGGTATGTAGTTCTTTCTGTTCAGCTCAATCTGCTGCATCACTGTTTGGTATGGGATCCACTTTTCTGAAAAACTAATTAACACAGTTGTAGTTGTATTTTCACTGGTGTAAGTGGGATGATGACACTGAGGACCTGAACCAAAACAGGAAGTCAGGGGAAAGATTCCCGTTGACTAATAGATATTGGATCAAGTGCAGAGCCCACATTTTATAATATTTATTATATAAACTTTGGGAGTATTCTTTGCTGCATCAAGTTTCTTCCATTCTTTCTTCCATAATTTTTTGGCAAGTTTAACTCTCTATAGTAGACCTTCCATACACAAGCATGAAGCACATATTTTTAATTGCTAACTGATACCTTTGTTACTTGCAGTCTTAACATAACTCATGATCTCTTTTAGAAAATTATTTGTATGTATTATACGTGAGATCTGTTTCACTTAGTTGTTGAAACTGTTAAACAAAAGCTTCTTTCCAGCCCTTTATAGTGTTATGGTTAGCTTTTGTTCACTCCACCCTGGTGTGTAATAAGCAGGGATCCTTGTTTTCTCTGATTAAAAATCGCAAATTCTCTGATTAAAAACTTAAAGCCTATGATAAAAACCAAAGGCCCCCAGAGAGTTGCTCGTGCCCCACACTCCTCCCCACAGCCTCAACAATTCTCCTGATGCCCCTCACAACAGCCCCCCCAGACACAGACACACAGGCGCAGACATGCAGACACAGAGGCACACACAGACACTGACCCCCACCCCAGCAGGTAAGTGTGTGTGGGGGGAAGGGGTGGGGCAGGGCAGGGGGGAAGGGAAGGTGCTGGGGAGGTAGATCAAGAAGCGAGGGAGCATACCCCGGTGCCCACTCCTAGCAGTAGGGCCAGGGGCTGAGGGCAGGGTTGACACTCTGTGGGCCACACATGCGCCGGCTGGCCTGACAGGAGGTTTGCACATGGAAGCCACCACTGCACCTCTGCCACTGCACCCTGCTCTACCATCCCACGGCCAGCCACATGGCTTTGTGGGCAAGTGTCACAGGGCGTGGCAGTGTGGTGGCAACCACCGTGCGTGGGCCACATACGTGCCACCTGGCTGGGGGGTGGAAAGGGGGGCTTGCATACAGTGGCCACTGCTGCATCACTGCTTATGCCCTACAGCCGGCTGCATGGCTCTGCGGTGTTGTGGGGTGGTGGCGGCTGCTTGCTGGCTGTGGGGTGGGGGGGCTTTGTGGGCAAGCGCTGCCACTGCAGAGCCATGCCCTTTGCCCCTGGATCCTAGAGGCAAGTGGGACTTGAGGGTCTGGGGAAGGGGGCTGGGGGCTGAGGGAGCAGGGGGTGCTGTTGGCCTACGTGGCACACTGCATTCAGGTGCAGGGCTTGGGGGTGAGGGCAGGGGTGCCCCTCTGTAGGGGGCTTTGCAGCAAGCTATGTGGGGCATGCATGCTGCCTGGCTGGCTGCCCAGGGGAGGGCAAAGGGGGTGCTCACATGTGGGCGGCTGCACAGCTCTGTGGCCTGCTCTGCACCGGCAGCGAGGGACGGTGGATGGGGGGAGGGGAGGCTCATACAAGGTGGCTGTCACCGCTGGCACAGTCCCACAGGTAAGCGGCAGCAGCCACTGTGTACCAGCAGTGACAGCCACTGCATACTAAACCTCCCCATGCCACCGCTGCTGCCGCAGAGCCATGCTCAGAGCTGTGCGGCTGGCTGGACAGTGACAGCAGCAGTGCGGTGGCAGCTGTGGCTGCCACGCTGCACAGGATGGTGGTGGGGATGGCTGCGTGCTGCCCGGCCACCACCAGACTGCCACTGCTGCCTTGCGACTACCCGCACAGCTCTGGGCATGGCTCCGTGGCGGCACGGGGAGGTTTTGTATGTAGCGGCTGTCTCTGCTGGCATGGCCCCACAGGTAAGCGGCAGCAGCCGCCTTGTGCGAGCCCCCCTTGCCCCCACGGCCAGCATCCCTTGCCACCACTGCAGAGCTGGCCAGCTGTGCAGCTTTCAAGCCGGCTGCATGCAAGCCTTCCCCTCCCCCTCCCCTGGGCAGCTGGCCAGGCGGCATGTGCGCCCTGCATCGCTTGCCCACAAAGCCCCCTGCAGAGGGGCGCCCCTGCACTCAACCTCCCGGCCATGCACCTGGTTATGGTGTGCTACCTGGGGCCAGCAGCACCCCCCACTCCCTCAGCCCTCAGCCACTTTCCCCAGCCCTGCCCCACAGCCCCCAAGCCCCACTTACCTCTAGGATCCAGGGGCGAAGGGTAAGTCTGAGCCTGAGCCCAGCCTTGGCTGACTCAGGCTCAGGCACCACCCTTCCCTCTCTCCCTTCCGTTCCAAGCAGGGCTGGGGATTTCCTGCCCTTTCTGCTATCAGCGCTTGCAGGTTTGTTCCAGCCTGCAAGAGCTCTTTGCAAAAGCAGAGAATCTGCAGATTTCTCTGCTAAAAAGGAAATCCGCATTTTCTCTGATTAAAAACAGGGAATCCATGGTTTTCTCTGTTCCTCTGTAGGAAATGGAAAACCCGGATCCCTGGTAATAAGGGTAGATGTGTTAGTGAATTTATTTTTTCCTACAAAAAAATAGCATTGCTTAAACTTGGATATAAAATGTACATTGCCTAGCCTATACTTTCAAATACTCTATTTACTTGAATATAAAATGAGGTCTTTTCCCCCAATCAGTATGGGGAAAAAAGCCCCATGTTTTACATTTGCATGCAAGGAAACCTCATTAAATACATGGGTGATCATTAAACTTCTACCAAAAACAGTTAATAGAAACCAACTATAAAACTGATTAAGTGCAACCAAAGTTGAGCATGACTATAAAACACATGGCCCATGTTAGGCAGGCATACTGATAGGAACCTACCACAAAGCTAGGTTAGTGCAGCCAGCCCATCTGAACAAGGTGCATGGTAATGCCCATTGTACTCAGTCCCCCTCAGTGCTGACTCTCTTCCAAGTCATGGTGAACCACTGCACTGAATACATTTCGACTTGATCTTCACTCTCACAGCTGAGCTGAGCCTTTCTTTCCCATTTGCAATGATTCCTGTTTCTTCACCAGCCTTAGATGTCTGGCAAACATTATGGGGTCCCAAATAGTTCACTGAGCATCTTTCTGTTACCTCCTCTCTCAACCTGTCTCATATGATTAGTGTGGCCCCACCCTCCATGATGTGGGGTCCACTTCCATGAGGTGGAGCCGGACAAGGTTCCCCTGTACCTTGTCTGCATATACATTTTTGGAGGATCATAGGACTTGTGACACAAACACCCAGTTCCAGTCATGACTGGTGGGCAGATTTGCACATGGATCCTTTGTGGGGGGTATCTGAAGTGTACACACATACTGAGCAGTGCTGAACTATATGGTCATCATGGTTTGAAACACTATTAATTTGGCAGTGGCCCAGCCCAATGAACTATCTGGTAAATCATGAGCCTTTTGGCTTTGGACTAGTGTCATGCATAGTTTGTATCTAATATAGATAGGTACAAAGGAGTTTCCAGAGTACCTGTGTTTAAATTAGAAGTGTGTTTACAGAGTACCTGTGTTTAAATTTGCAGCCATTTAAAAAAAAAAAAAAAAAGGTAAAATGCATAAGTTCTGGATGAACTAAATTATTATATGCATGTTTATTTCAAAGTCAGTGTTTTCAGATTTGTCCCTCACTTCCATGTGCTCAGGGTCTGAAAGTAAGGTGGGTAGAGGGGCAGGGAAACAAGTTGTGGGGGCAGATGACCCCTGCAGACTTATTTTCCTTGCTGTAGTAGTGGACAGGGAACAAATTCTAGACAACCCTCCAATAATTAGATTCTATACCTGAAAAATTATAACACATTTATACATTTTTCATATATAGAATCTAATTATTGGGGAGGGGTCATGTTTTATATTTGAGTAAATACCGTTACTTATATGGCACTTTTCACAACAAGATCTCATAACACCTAGCAAAAAAGTTGAAAACCATTATCCTGATTTTCTAAAGAGGGAAACAGGAGCACATAGGAAAGAAGTGATTTGCCTTAGATCACCAGCAGCAGGCCAGTAGTGAACCAGAGAATGAGGTTTCATGAGTTCTAGCCAGGCATCTACTTATATACAGTACAAACTATGTGTGATATTAGTCCAAAGGCTCATGATTTACCACATAGTTCATTGAGCTGGCCTCCAACTGAGTTAACAGTGTTTCAAGCTACAGTGACCACATAGCTCAGCACTGCTCAGTATGCGTGTACACTCCAGATACTGCGCCCCCCCCCCCCCCAAAAGGATCCATGTGATAATTAGGGTCCACTCATGTTGTAACCAGGTGTTCTTGTTACAAGTCCTGGGATGCTCCAAAAATTTATATTCAGATGAGGTGCAGGGAAATCTTGTGCAGCTTTCCCTCCTGGGAGGGAGGCCCACACTAATCATACATGCCAGGCTGAGAGGGGGTGACAGAGAGATTCTGGGTGAACTGTATGTAATATTGGGGCTCGCAGTGACTTGGAAAAGAGTTACTGGTGGTGGAGACTGCACTTAATGGGTACTATCATATGTTTTATGCAGATGGGCTACACTAACTTATTCTTGTGATAGGTTCCCATCAGCACATTTGTCCAAAATGTGGGCTCTGGCCTTGATCCATGTGTTTTATAGTCATGCTCAGTTTTGGCTATGTTTAATCAGCTTCATAGTTGGTTTCCATTGCTGAGCACATGCTGCTTTTGGCAACAGTTTAATAATAGACAGTGTGTTTAGTAAGATTTCCTTGTATACAATTATAAGACAAGGGGCTTTTTCCCTCATGCTAACTGAAGGAAAAATCTTTGTTATATTTGAATAAATACAGTAGAAGGAATTATTATTATTTTGTCTCTTTGTGGGCATAAATGTCTGCTCATATT